TAAGTTAAAGATGTGTTATACATTGTTTAAGATGGAGCTACAATAATATATTGGGGTAGAAAATCCTCCTGCCTACTTCTAAACAGAATTTAAGTTATTTTGCATGTAAAACTCCAGAAGGCTGTCAATATCAAGTCCAAATCAGAAAATGCTGTCTATTTTTAGGACCAAAGTAATAGTTCATATAATAAAGTCACAATCCCAGTTATCTAGGATTTCTGACTAAATCAAACCACATTTACCCACATCACTCACACAGAATGAAAAATGACAAAACGTCAAGTATTTTAGGAAGTATATTTATTTCATATTAGCAGTACAAAAATAAACATACATACTGATAAACAGATCTAAGAAGGTGTACAAGCGAAAGCAATGGAATCGTTTTGGTTTAAGACAATCAGCTGCTTGTTAAAGAGCTCGGGGAAGTGAGGTAGAGAGCACCCGAGTCCTTTAACAAGATTTGCCCTGGACTCGACACACTTTGTCAAGCTTATTATGGTTTAATGTGATTTTGCCATAAGCCTTGTTTTATTTTGAATGTTCGCTGACGTAAATGGCAGGAACAAACAGATTAAATCATTGAGAAGGTTGAAACGGCTCAGTAGACAACAATGCACACTTGCGTAAATATAAAGTATATATATATACACACACACACATACATGATGCTCTGCAAATCTCTTTAGATGATAAACTACATGCTCTTCATCATATATTTTAAATGATACAAAATTCCATTATTCAGATGAACTAAATCATGAAAAAAAAATAGACATTATTCATTTATAAAAACCATCAATCTGGGGAAAAAAAATGACAGGCTTCTGACTCAGGCATATGCTCATCATAACGCTCGCTTCAGAGCTAAAAAACAAACACTGAGGAAACATTGGAAACAGAACTTGCTCAAAACGCCAATCAAGCAAATGTAACCTTATTTTCTGCTGTCAATTTAACAAAACTTTGGCAGAGATCATGCACAGGGGCCTCAGGTGTAATGAAATACTTGATAGTGGTTTAATTGCTTTTCATTTTACTCCCATGTTTTAATGCTGCGTCTGTCACACATTTTTTATTTTGTTAGATTATTTTTGTATCGAAAGAAGTGACAGATGCAAGAAGGTGCCCAAGACTGACCCATGCCAAGTGCCAAAGTGTCCTTTATGACAGAATGTACCCAAGTAAGAATGACATCACGAGTCCAAAAACTGTCACGCAACTATAAATAGGTCCAGAACTGGCAGCATCTGTGTAATAATCCACATGTGTCTCGTTGTGAACATGATCTCCTGAATGCTCACCACCATGTCCTTCGTGTCCGTGCCCTTGCCCATGTCCGTGGCCGTACCTGTGGCCATGCCCATACCCATACCCCGCACCGTAGCCTCCATATCCTCCATACCCATGCCCGTACCCATATCCAGGTCGGGCCATGGAGCTCAAGCCGTGTCCGACCAGCATTCCCCCTAGAGCTCCGGCGGCGGCCGCCCCTGCTACCTTCCCAGCACTGTGTCCCGAGGAGCCTCCAGTATGGACTGGTGGGGCACGGTAATGTCCACCGCCTCCTCCCCATCCCGTGCGACCAGAGCTGCTTCCACCCCATCCTCCACCTCGGCCTCCCCCACGGCCAAAGCCCCCGCCTCGACGTGACTGGACCGCAGGAAACATCACAGTCAGGAGTAGCAGGCAGTTCATCAACAAGATGATCTTATATTGGGAGAACATCCTGGAAGATGCTGTGAAAACACAAGATCAGAGGTTGACTGAATCCACGTGTACTGTGTAGTCTGGTAACAAAGGCTGTGCATGTAAACTCTCTGAAAGCAAAGAGCTAAACATAGCCCAAAAAACCAATCAGTCTTTGACTCATCAGTCCCAATGAGATCTGTCTGATTAGTGGACACAGAGGACATAACGTCAGGAGGAAGGATATAGAGAAAGCCAACAATGTCAAGAAAGAGAAATTAGAAAGGTCTTATTTCCTAAAACTACTATAGGGTCTTATCTGAAAAAAAAGTAGCCCATTTATCATGCAAGAAAAAAGAAAACCCTATCTTTTAGAACCTATTTTATATAACCTATTTTTGATTATTGGCTCATTTTAAGCATACGTTTAATACATTTGAGAGACAATTCTGTTTCTAAAACAAGGGAAAAAATAATTGAAGATATATCCAAAACAGATCTTTTAAGAATGTTTATATGTAAACTTTTTTTTCCATAGTAAAAAAACAAAGTGCTAAAGACTGCCCACAATGTCCTTTGAGAAAGAAAAATAAATTACAGTCTTTATTCAGAGGCCATAAAAATACAAAAGTGCCCATGCAGTGACTAAATGTTTTCAGTGTGACATCTTCATCAGTATCTATCTATATATCTATCTATCTATCTATCCATCTATAACATTTGGAATATTTAGGAATTTATAAATGTTTCTGAAAGTCTCTGCTCACAAAGACTGCATTTATTTGATGAAAAATAGAGTAAAAACAGGAACATTGTGAAACATGATTACAATTGACCAGAACTTGGTAACACTACAATAAGGTTCCATTTGTTAATATTAGTTCAATACATTAGTTAACATAAACTAATAATGATAAATACTTCTAAAGCATTTATTAATCTTAGTTAATTAAGTTAAAGATGTGTTATACATTGTTTAAGATGGAGCTACAATAATATATTGGGGTAGAAAATCCTCCTGCCTACTTCTAAACAGAATTTAAGTTATTTTGCATGTAAAACTCCAGAAGGCTGTCAATATCAAGTCCAAATCAGAAAATGCTGTCTATTTTTAGGACCAAAGTAATAGTTCATATAATACAGTCACAATCCCAGTTATCTAGGATTTCTGACTAAATCAAACCACATTTACCCACATCACTCACACAGAATGAAAAATGACAAAACGTCAAGTATTTTAGGAAGTATATTTATTTCATATTAGCAGTACAAAAATAAACATACATACTGATAAACAGATCTAAGAAGGTGTACAAGCGAAAGCAATGGAATCGTTTTGGTTTAAGACAATCAGCTGCTTGTTAAAGAGCTCGGGGAAGTGAGGTAGAGAGCACCCGAGTCCTTTAACAAGATTTGCCCTGGACTCGACACACTTTGTCAAGCTTATTATGGTTTAATGTGATTTTGCCATAAGCCTTGTTTTATTTTGAATGTTCGCTGACGTAAATGGCAGGAACAAACAGATTAAATCATTGAGAAGGTTGAAACGGCTCAGTAGACAACAATGCACACTTGCGTAAATATAAAGTATATATATATACACACACACACATACATGATGCTCTGCAAATCTCTTTAGATGATAAACTACATGCTCTTCATCATATATTTTAAATGATACAAAATTCCATTATTCAGATGAACTAAATCATGAAAAAAAAATAGACATTATTCATTTATAAAAACCATCAATCTGGGGAAAAAAAATGACAGGCTTCTGACTCAGGCATATGCTCATCATAACGCTCGCTTCAGAGCTAAAAAACAAACACTGAGGAAACATTGGAAACAGAACTTGCTCAAAACGCCAATCAAGCAAATGTAACCTTATTTTCTGCTGTCAATTTAACAAAACTTTGGCAGAGATCATGCACAGGGGCCTCAGGTGTAATGAAATACTTGATAGTGGTTTAATTGCTTTTCATTTTACTCCCATGTTTTAATGCTGCGTCTGTCACACATTTTTTATTTTGTTAGATTATTTTTGTATCGAAAGAAGTGACAGATGCAAGAAGGTGCCCAAGACTGACCCATGCCAAGTGCCAAAGTGTCCTTTATGACAGAATGTACCCAAGTAAGAATGACATCACGAGTCCAAAAACTGTCACGCAACTATAAATAGGTCCAGAACTGGCAGCATCTGTGTAATAATCCACATGTGTCTCGTTGTGAACATGATCTCCTGAATGCTCACCACCATGTCCTTCGTGTCCGTGCCCTTGCCCATGTCCGTGGCCGTACCTGTGGCCATGCCCATACCCATACCCCGCACCGTAGCCTCCATATCCTCCATACCCATGCCCGTACCCATATCCAGGTCGGGCCATGGAGCTCAAGCCGTGTCCGACCAGCATTCCCCCTAGAGCTCCGGCGGCGGCCGCCCCTGCTACCTTCCCAGCACTGTGTCCCGAGGAGCCTCCAGTATGGACTGGTGGGGCACGGTAATGTCCACCGCCTCCTCCCCATCCCGTGCGACCAGAGCTGCTTCCACCCCATCCTCCACCTCGGCCTCCCCCACGGCCAAAGCCCCCGCCTCGACGTGACTGGACCGCAGGAAACATCACAGTCAGGAGTAGCAGGCAGTTCATCAACAAGATGATCTTATATTGGGAGAACATCCTGGAAGATGCTGTGAAAACACAAGATCAGAGGTTGACTGAATCCACGTGTACTGTGTAGTCTGGTAACAAAGGCTGTGCATGTAAACTCTCTGAAAGCAAAGAGCTAAACATAGCCCAAAAAACCAATCAGTCTTTGACTCATCAGTCCCAATGAGATCTGTCTGATTAGTGGACACAGAGGACAAGGTGTTAGAAAGATAGAGAAAGCCAATAATGTCAAGAAAGAGAAATTAGAGAGGTCTTATTTTCTAAAATGTCTATAGGCTCATCTGAAAAAAGCAGCTATTTATTATGTATTCCTGTAAGAAAAAAATAACCTTAAGGGGAAAAATAATGCAAGATATATTCTGTAAAAATTGTTTTCAGAGGATATCGCTTTTTTTTTTTTTTAAGAACCCTGTTGGTTATTGGCTGTTTAAGCATCAGTTTAATACATTTGAGAGACAATTCTGTTTTTAAAACAAGGGGAAAAAATTATTCAAGATATATCCTCTAAAAACATCTTTTAAGAGTCTTACCTCTTTTTAAGGATGTTTATATGTAATCTTTTTTCATAGTAAAAAAGTACAAAAACCTGCAATGTCCTTTGAGAAAAAAAATGACAAAGTCTTTCTTCAGAGGCCATAGAAATACAACCGTGCCCATGCAGTGACTAAATGTTTCCAGTATGACATCATCATCAGGGGCCGGTTGCATAAACTGCTTAGGTCTTAAAAAGTTAGCCATCTAATTTGTTTTCTTCTAGACTGGTCATAACTGTTTAAAGTCAGTAACAAAAACGCAGACTGGCCCAGTTTTAATCAGAAAAGTGAGACTGATTAACTCTTGGCTAACTGCTAGTTGGTCAAACTAGTTCTTAAGACAGAATTTTAACATAGTGTCTATGTTTCTGCAATTGGCCCCAGTATCTATATTTGTACACATACACACTACCGGTCAAAAAAATTGGAATATTTAGGAATTTTTTATGTTTCTGAAAGTCTCTTTGCTCACAAAGACTGCATTTATTTGATGAAAAATAGAGTAATAACAGGAACATTGTGAAATACTATTACAATTTAACAGAACTTTTGGTAACACTTTACAATAAGTTCCATTTGTTAACATTAGTTAAGTACATTAACTAACAATGATAAATATTTTTTACATTTATTAATCTTAATGTTGATTCCAACATTTACTAACACATTATTAAAATTAAAAGTTGTATCTATTAATATTGGTGAGCAAAAAATATTTATTTAAAAAACATGAAAAAAAATCTTAATTATTCCAAAATTTTGATTTGGTAAAATTTGGTAGGGTGTGTGTGTGTGTGTGTGCGTGCATATATATATATATAAATAATTTTAAAATTTGTATTTATTTATTTATTTGGAAAGCAAAAAAAAAAAAAACCTGACAAGGACATTAGGACATCATTTTTTTTCATTTGACTCATTTGCTGCTTGATGACAATGTAACATACATAGATCTCTATGCATGTTATGATCTAGAGTAAGGCAATGAATTGAGCAGTACATGATCTTTTCAGAAACGAGGCCGCCAGTCTGGCAGCTTTAGAAAAGTAATCTGGTAGTTCAGTGTCTGGTTATCTTTCAAGAATATTCTCCCCCTGCACAATTCAATCCAATGCAACACAAATGCGATGTTCATTTTTAAAATCATTCAATTATGAGGTAACCTTTACCGCAAGGTGACTATCAGTCTAATTCATATTACATATAAAAGTATTAGTTCTGATGAACAGTAATGCAGCATTCAACACAGGAATATCACACATTGGTATGTAATTCTCCACTAAATATGGTTAAAATGAAGAGGATGCACTGACTTACGTTGAACAGGTGTCTGGATGAAATGTATTTTGGAAGGTTCAGGATGACTGTCCAAGTGTTGTCCTCCTCTCTTGTCTGCTGTGCTTGAATGGATGAGAGTACAAGACAGAACTCACACAAGTACACGTACACAGTGGCATTAGACTGCGGCTCATTCTGATTGGTTAAGTGAATGAACCTACGTCGGTCCGTCTCACCGGCATAGGATCAGAATATCACTAATCCATCAACAGGATTAAGACGGTCTATGGATTTGGCAAACGTCTTTAGGCCCAGGGGTCATACTGTGGGGTCGGTCATGTGGTGATTGTATCTCTCCATGAGCTCAGAGATGGTGGTTAGGTAATCCTGAGACGACCTGTAGTCACATCATGTGGAAGACTGATAGTTCTGACATGAACGCAATGACTTTCTTTGCTGGTAGGTTGTGCATGCTGAAAAAAATCTTGGTCAGTAAAAGAAAAAACAATGGACCCTTTTACATATGTACTGTGGTTCTCAGAAGCAGAAGCCATTATATTGTTAGGTAAACATCTATAGTGGTGAATGGAATCAACAAAAACGTGTCAAAAGCTAAATATGTGTGTTAAAAAAGTACATTTTATATATATATATATATATATAAACTTTGCTAGATTTACGATATTAATAACTGAAAAGGCTTCATGGGGTCCAAAATATTAAACTTAATTTAATGCATACTTGCTAAATAACAGTATTCTTCAATTTCTTTATCATTTTTTATAATTTTTCTTTCAAAAATATATAAATCTTACTGACCTCAAACGGTAGTGTACTCTATATCTATCTATCTATCTATATATATAGATATATATATATATAGATATCTATATATATATATATCTATATATATATATATCTATATATATATATATCTATATATATATATATCTATATATATATATATCTATATATATATATATCTATATATATATATATCTATATATATATATATATAGATATATATATATATATTGTATATATATATATATATATATATATATGTGATATAATACTCTTTTTGTTGCATGTTTTAATAGTTAAACATGCACACTGCCAATTAAACGATAGTACATATCCTCCATAATCTTCCATATTATCACATCTCAACACTGTTAGACATGCACAAATTCATACCAGTAACAGATGCATTTGTTGAGTGCAAATAAAACAGGTTTTCTAATTTTCTGATGATAATATTTTATTTAAATATAATTATCATCATATTGTCAGTTTTACAATCAGTATCATATAAACACATGCCAGAAGTATGACAACACAGAGGTCAGTCATAGGTGTGAATGAGAGTCTAAATGTAAAAGCAAAATATGAAGCTCTTTCGTAACAACTACAGCCATGCTGTACTCTTCTGATACCCAAACATGCATACTAGCCATACCGACTCACCCATTCAAACATCCCAAACAACATTCACATATTCATTCGCTACAATCCCTTGCGCTGCTTCACTCTGTTTTCAATCATCCTTTAAATTCACAGTCTTTTACTTTGCTTCTTACAAAAAGATTTCTATTCACGGCCTAAAAGAGACGTTGGTCAAATGGAGTTGTAATCAGACTATAATGGTACAACAGGTTGGCTCAGACCGCATATATTCTCAAAAAATCCAACATGTAAAGTGATCAGTCAGTCATCACCCTTTTTAATGGGTTAAACCAAACAAATAATACTAAAGTTGTAAGCATTTATCTCTGTTACTTCGTGCTTCTCATTATAATTGCTCTTTCCAGTTATCACTGGATGATGAAATTCCCTGGTTTAGTGGAATGTGCTTTTATATTATTGTACCTGCATGTGATTCCGTACAGCACCAAAAACTAGAGAAAAATATAAAGAATTTTTATATAATAAGATGTACCATCCACTGGTCAGCAAATATCAATGCATATTAAGGGTTACCAATCATATAGGACAGAAGGGGCTGATAAAATTCTGTCTGGAAGTCCATTGATTGACATGAAGAAGGGCAAGTGCTCGTCACATACAGGTGGAGCCCTCTGGTGAACACTGGAGCCGCTTCTCAATGATACACCGCAGATACTTATATCTATTCAGAAAGAGATGCATGGATAATTAAATCACAAAGAAGTTAATTTAAAATTATTTTGACTGTCGCTTTTAATGCATCATTGCTTTGGAGGTCTCTTAAAGGGGTCATATGATGTTGCTTAAAAGAACATTATTTTGTGTATTTGGTGTAATGAAATGTGTTTATGCGGTTTAAGGTTAAAAAAACACATTATTTTCCACATACTGTACATTATTGTTTCTCCTCTATGCCCCGCCTTTCTGAAACGCGTAGATTTTTACAAAGCTCATCGTTCTAAAAAAGCGAGGTGTGCTGTGATTGGCCAGCGATCCACAGCGCAAAGTTGTTGTATTTCCTCAGCAACCAGCACGGATCAGCTCCAGGCATGACGAAGCAGATATCGTCCTCTTTTGGAAGACCAAACAAAGTAGTTTCGCTTTCACAACGAAACACACAGTGCCTTCGCGACATGGCGGCGGCAACAACAATACTACAGAGAGAATAAAAGTTACGCCTTCTTTCTTTGCGTTAACATTTGGGCGGCGTTATGCAAATCTTCCCACATAGTGAGGTAGACATGTGGGGGCGTGTTAGAACGAGGCCGTTTTAGGTAGGCGTGGCTGACTCTTAACTTTTATAAAGAATATCTCTTTGGATTTGAGACTTTAGTCTTTG